AAATAAAATAAAAAAAAGAAAAAATAATTAAATAAAAAGAAAAAAATATAAAAACATAAATAAAAAGAAAAAAATATAAAAACATAAATAAAAAGAAAAAAATATAGAATCATAATTAAAATAAAAAAAAATTAAATAAGCAAAAAAAATCATAAATAAAATAAAAAAAATAAAAAAAAAATTAAAAAAAAATAAAAAAAAAAAAAAAGAAAAAAAAATTAAAAAAAAAATANAAAAAAATAAAAATAAAAAAATAAAAAATAAAAAAAAAATTAAAAATAAAAAAAATAAAAAATAAAAAAAAAAATAAAAAAAAAATAAAATTAAAAATTAAAAAATAAAAAATAAAAAAAAAATTAAATAAAAAAAATTAAATAAAAGAAAATAAAAAAATAAAAAAGCAAAAAAATAAATAAAAAAGTAGAAAATAAAAAAATGAAAATAATAAAAAAAGGTAGAAAATAAAAACAGGAAAATAATAAAATAAAAGTAGAAAATAAAAACAGGAAAAAAATGAAAAAGGGGGGAAAAATATATAAGAAAAAGAAAAAAAAAATAATAAATAAACAAAAAGAAAAGAATTACGATTTGTAGATCGTAAGAAAAAAAAAAAAATTGAAAGAAAAAAATAACAATAAAAAGTAAGAAAAAAAAAAATACAAAGTGAAAAAAATAAAAAAAATATCATAAATAAGAAAAAGCAAAAAATAAAATATAAATAAAAAAATAAACAAAAAGAAAAGAATTAAAAATTTTAAGAAAAAATAACAATAAAATGTAAGAAAAAATAAAATAAAAAATAAGTAAAAAAATAAAATAAAATAGAAAATAAAAAAAAAAATAATAAAAAAAGAAAATAAAAAATAAAAACAAATAAAAAATAAATAAGAAAAAGAAAAAAATAAAAAATAAATAAACAAAAAGATAAGAGTAACGATCTGTGGATCATACGAAAAAAAGAAAAAAAATTAAAAATTAAAAGAAAAAGATAACAATAAAAAGTAAGAAAAATTAAATGGAAAAAACAAAAAAAAAGATAGAAAAGAAAAAACTTAATAAAAAAAGTAAAAAGGAAAAAACCAAATAAAAAATATAATAAATAAAATGGAAAAAACAAAAAAAAAGATAGAAAAGAAAAAACTTAATAAAAAAAGTAAAAAGGAAAAAACCAAATAAAAAATATAATAAATAAAATGGAAAAAACAAAATAAAAAATAAAAAAATAAAATAAAAAGAGTAAAAAAGTAAAAAATAAAAAGTAAAAAATAAAAAATAAAAAATAAAATAAAAATAAAATAAACAATTAAAATTAAAATAAAAAGCATATAAAATTTTTTAAATATTCATACTTTCCTTATCGAATAAAAAATATGAGTGCTGTCAGTATATAATAAGCTGTTTGCTATAAGCTTATCTGAAAAAAAAATTAAATAAAAATTGTGTTCAAATCGCTTACATAAATTTAAGCTCTGCTCTGTGGTCAAACTACTCAGTTTTAGTTCCGTAAATTCGAAATTCGCAGTATCTTTAACCACATTTTAATGCAAGATTTTTTTTTTACTACTTAACATAAAATAGTACGTGTATTTAGCAATAAAACATAAGATGAACAATTTGCAGTGGTTGTAATTTAGGGATGAAAATACCAAATTTATGAGTGCAGTTTCAATTAAATATTATTTTAAAGAAGACTGTTAATCATATAAAAACGTCACAAATAATATTTCAGCTTAAAATTCACTCGTTATAGATTGTGAATCACTGATTCTTTGCTTTTATTTAAAAAAAAATAAATAAATACAGTAATACTTCTACCGAATTAAGCCTGCAAAACAATGGCGCCATTCGAAAGGAATTTTTGTATAGAAAATAAGCCCACAAAATCACTCTTGCCACAAACATGTTATGCGCAATTTTAAAATAATTGAATATTTTCAAATTTTCTACTAAAAATATAAATAGAATCGAATTTTTATGCGCAAGTACTTTTTGTTATTTTTTTTTTGCGGAGGAGGATAAAGCAAATATCACCGCATCATGACAGCGTCGTTACAGCAATGGTATTTGTTTTTCCTTTCCTTTAAAGGCGATGGTTCCCCCACTTTTTAGGGTGGTGTTTCAGATTTCTTGAATTTTTCCAGCGTGTTTTTTTTCAAGGAGAAATAAAACGAAAATAATTATAAAGATAAAGGTATGCAATTATTTTTAAAAATGTTTTGGGCTAAGATATCGCCGAGTTTGCCCCGATTAAATTCTGGCCAATAGGACCAATTTCCGTCCACCTTTTTCAACAATTGGTGCAACTTGGTAGCAATAACACTAGAAATGTTCTCTTCTAAGGCATCAGAAAACCGAGTTCACACAACTCCAAAAGGTGGGCCTGTGCAGGAAAATGCGCTCACCAAAAGTTTTCTTCAATGAATTGCTTGTTTCGTTGGCTGTAAGGCATGTAGCATCGTCTTGTTGACACCAAAAGTTGTCAACAACAACATCCTCTTGTGGATTATCATCACTCCAAATGCGACGATTTATTCATTAACGTGCCCATTAAAACAAAAGTGAGCTTCATCACTGAAAAAAATGTTCTTGTGAAAATCCGAACCGGTGAACATCTTGTTTCACCGAAAGTGCGACGCGCATATGATGGTCGTTCAGATTCAATACTTGCACGGCGTGAATTTTGTAAGTCCGTAAACCAAGATCCTTTCTCAAATTCTTCCATTGACCGGATGGAGGCAGATCTGCTCCACAGCAGCAGCATTATCGTCTTCGGGGTGCACTTTATGGCATCTCTGAGGATACGCATTATCTACCAGAGTAAACTTTATGCGAAACCGAGCCATGGTTGTTCGACTCTGCTGAGCGATTATGTGGACCGAATATAGGACGCGCGATCGTAACCACTATGAAATGGCAAACCATACTGAGTAAAAATCTAGTAATAGCAGTCAGTATGACCAACATCGTAAAAGCATTGCCTAATTGAAAGTCAAACATGTGAAAAAACACCCTTTACCAGCTACAAGAACAAAAGATTCTGTTTCTCATGGCAGCTTCAAACTTAGGCTTAATTTAAAAGTGACATAACCATACCATACGACGTGGTCGAAACCATAGCACTACCAATTGAAGATGCAACTATAGGTGTCACAACCATACCTTACCATAATATTGTAGCTGATCAATTGGCAACATTGTTCCCGATTATTGGTTCCATACTATACTGCCGCGGCCATAACCATATTAATAGTTACCACGTGAAGCTAAAATTATAGTCATATCATACCATAGCAAAACAGCTGATTCAACCAACTTAATGGGCAACACTGTGTCTGATTATTGGTTCCATATCATAAAGCCGTAGCCAAACCATAACCGTACCTACCAATTGAAGGAGCATTAACTGTACCATACCATAACAACTGATCCAACCCACTCAATTGGCAGCATTGTTTCCAATTATTATTATTGGTTCCACACCATACTGCCGTGGCCATAACCATAGCAGTAGTTATCAGGTGATGCTGAAATTAGGGGTGTCCTAATCATACCGTACCATAACAGCTGATTCAATCAACTTAATGGGCAACACTGTGTCTGATTATTGGTTCCATATCATAAAGCCGTAGCCAAACCATAACCGTAGCTACCAATTGACGGATCCTTAACCGTACCATACCATAACAACTGATCCAATCTAAACAGCTGGTCCAATCATTCAATAGGCAACACAGTTGAGGATTATTGGTGCCGTACCATAATGCCGTAGCCAAACCATAGCCGTAGCTACCAATTGAAGTAAAAATTAAAGGAGCGATTACCTTACCATATAACAGCTGATCCAAACAACACAATTGGCAATACAGTTGAGGATTATTGGCGACATACCATAATGTCGCAGCCGTAGCTATCAGTTGAATTTTGTTTTAGTGTTAACCGAATTTACGGACAGACTCAAAGGACCAACATCAACTAAAAATTGAATTTATTTACGACACAAGTGATCCAAAATGCGGGACGCAACAGGAAGATGACATCAATAACTTTGTTGCTCATTTCAAATGTGTATGCATGTTATTGTTGTTCATTCTTACAGCTGGCACTTTTCAATGCCTAACAAACGCAGAAATTGTGAAATTGACGTTGTTCGAAAGCAAAGGAGGAGAAAGTAGGCGAGTGGCGAATGAGGATCTGTATCTGGATGGTTGAACATACATATACATATATATCGTACATACGTGTGCTGTGGTTTATTTACGGGAATTGTGTATATGCAAATCATTACTAATTGAAGTTCAATGCCGTCAGTGGCGTATTTGTCACCTACAACAACAAAACATTGCTAAGGGCCTGTAGATTGTACGAATGTATACTTATATGTATGTGTGTATTATATAGCAAGTGGAAGTCTGTTTTTGCCAGTTGCTTGGTGGTGGTTAAGTGGCCAGTTGGCGCAATCCACTTCCACTAATTTTGTCAAGTGTTTACGCGTGTTCTTGGTTGCTTGCAATCCCATTATATGGCAATTAGAATGTAGTGTAAATATTATATGTGTACATATATACAAACATATGTATATTGCATAATAATGGTGTGATTATCATCTCTATTAGTGTGTTGACAAGAAATTTTAGCCTAAAAGCCAATGCACAGAATTTTTTTATTATCTACAATATTCGCTTTGAATAAACATAAATACCTCTTTTGAGGGTGCTCTGTCAGACAAAGCAATTAATTAATTTTAAATTGACAAAATGACAAATTTCGATATTTATTTTCAAAACGCAGTCGCGAGTAGCGTGGAAAATCACATCCAAATTGAATTTCAGTTTCTGAAAATTGACTTTTTTCACTGCAAAATGTATTGATAATTGCTATGTCTGACAGCACCTTAAGTTTGTTACTCGTCTCTAAATTTTGCTAAGCTTTTTTCGCCAAATAATTAAAGAAAAATGTTTTACAAAAATAATTTTAATTTTCTCATTTCCTTTACTTTTCAGATGCTTGCCTACGTTGCCAAGCGGAAAATAAGCGCGAGGTACTCGGTCGCCAGGATTGTGTTGTTGTTTGGGGCGAATGTAATCACTCATTCCATCATTGCTGCATGTCGCTGTGGGTTAAGCAAAATAATCGCTGTCCACTCTGCCAACAGGAATGGTCCATACAACGTATGGGCAAGTGAACGTCTACTCCGCTGAGCCAAATAAATACCCACGAAAAGAGCAAATAGAATTTCTAAATTTTTAAGAACACCATTGGTAATTGCTATATTGTGAATGTGCACTAAATTTGTTTATTTTTTTCCTCAATAGATTTAAGATTCAATATTTGTTTGAGTATATAAGCTTAGGAATATGGTGAAAATGTATATGAAGAGAAAAACTGCAATAAATTGTATTTGTGTAAAAAAGAACGGAGAAAAAGTAATGAAATGTGGCAAGCGTAAAGAAGTGCACCTGCACTGAGGAGGAATTACTGAGTCAATAAATGTTTGTAAGATGCGTCATTGTGTTGAGCCAAAATGCTTGGAGTTTATCGAGTTTAGTGAATGAAGAAATTAATGAGCAAACGTCGAAAAAAATTATGCCCCGGGTGAGGCTCGAACTCACGACCTTAAGATTATGAGACTTACGCGCTGCCTACTGCGCCACCGAGGCTATATAAAGTCCATGCCGAAAGCGGAACATAAACTTGGCGTGGTAGAACCCGTTACAGACTAAAGAGAATAAATCACTGCAATGAAGCTTATACAAATGTTAGAGCGAGGTAAATATGTATGTACAACCAACCATGTAACCTACATACATATTCTTTAGTTTGTATATGAGCTTAAAACAGGAACAGCATTTTATTGAGAGAAAGGTATTTCCAAGGACTACAAGGATTTTATTTTGATATTTTGTTTAAGAAAGAAAACAAACGTTAAAAAATATATAAAATAAAAAGCATTAAGACGGATTCGGGGTGACTTTCCAGTGATACAAGGGAAAACTTGCATAGCAACTTGCACTTCCATTGTCTTAAAGAAGTCAGCTGGCTCTCACGTGACAAGTAACAGTTAAAAATTTAAGGTTGTAGACGTTCTCATCTATCCAGGAAGCAGCTTAAAGACCAATAATAATGTTGGTCGAAAAATCCTCCCGCACTTGGTGCTACTTACGACTGAGTAGGCAATTGAAACCAAACGTCTTCTCTATGCAATTAAAGATCAAACTCAGATCAACTGTACAAATAATGATTCTTGTCCTACTTCATGGCGGTGTAGAAACGTGGACGTTGCCCGTTTGTTGAATAGGCTTTGGAAGTCTTCGAGAAAAAGGTTTAGAGGAAGATTTATGGTCATCTACGCATGAGTGACGACGAATACCGCAGACGGCGGAACTATGAGCCATATATAATAACATATACGAGGATATGGAAATATGTATGTATGTAGTATGATTTCTTGGTGGATGGAAACACACCAGCTTTGAAAGCTGGTCCGCTGACGTACGCTTAAGAATAATAAGACCTCAATTCCGCTGAAATGATTAGGTGGAGAAAAGCCTGGCTTCACTTCTTGTCTCCAATTGGCGCTGAACGGCTAAAAGTAGAAAAGACCGGCATGTTATTGGTTATACTAAAACTTCAAGATGTTGTTCAAATACTTTCGAGCAGCTTGAGCATTTGGTCAACCAGTGCTCATGCTGCTGGATACCTGGGTGTCTACAGCTCCAGTTTATACATGGATTTCTGTTTCACAGCATATGATCCATTCAAAAGCTTTAGTTAGTTCTGCATCGGATTGGATATTACAAACGATTTGTTATTGTCTTTTTATACGCCTTAAACATTATGATTTGTGTAAAATTTCGTATCGGCTTAAATGATGGCATCTTGCTATATTTTCAGTTATTTTTAGAACAAAATCATAAAAATCATATCGCTTAAATCAATTCTCATTGTTTGCTTGGTAAACACACCCTGCAATGAAAAGTGCTGACGTGTAACACTCTGTGCTTACGCGTCTTCAATTTCCTATATGTCATTTTGCAACCACCGACCACTTGTCCCTTTGGCGCAGAGGATAGCGCGTTGGACTTCTAATCCAAAGGTCGCGGGTTCGATCCCCGCAAGGGATGTTTCGTAAGAAATTTGAATTTTTTTTTTAGCAGGAAATATTTCATTCTTAGAAATATGTAATTAAGGTGTAAATATTTCGAATTACTTTAACTTTTGTGTAAAAATTTCCTTTTTTATGCATTTATGGCAATTCATTTGCAAGATGTGTTGCACAATACTTGATTCTGCAGGATATTTGCTATATAACTGCGTGAGGAAATGGGCGGCCCTCCACCGTTCGTCCCTTTGGCGCAGAGGATAGCGCGTTGGACTTCTAATCCAAAGGTCGCGGGTTCGATCCCCGCAAGGGATGCAATTGCAGCTTTTTAGTAAAAATTTCATAATTTGTCATTAAATAGAGGGATTTGTTTGAATATACAAAATTTTAACAATAATGTTAATGGAATTCATAAACATATATGTATGTACATATAAGTGATTTTAAATTACAACAAAAATATTTATTTATTGTCAAGACTGATTTTATTTATATTGAAACTTCAAAATGAAGCACCGATTTTTCTTTATTTTTTATAATTTTTTGGACTACTATATAAAACAAACACACACTTAAACATTCTTCTTCTTCTGTACCTGCGTGCATATACTCGTATGTAAATAGAGATTTCTAATATAAAAGCATCATTTTGAACGTAACAAAAATGCTTAATTTCTTTAGTGAATTTAGCATTTTGTTTTCTACCATATCCAACTGCTTACTTTGGTTGTAAAGATGGAGATAGATTTCTCTCAAGAACATTCGCATTTAATCTTAGCTTTTCCACGCGTGTAGGGTCAGCTAATTCCTCTTCAGCTAAACGTTCAGCACGATTTTCTTGTATAGATTCTTAAGGAAACAAAATTTTATATTAATTATTTATTCCATAAACCAAATTTATTTTATTTATACTTACTGCTGTATGGTGTGTATTTGTCGGATAATAAGTTTTCCAAATTGTAACCGATGAAACCAACGACACCAGCAATTGGAAGAGTTATGTAGACCGCGTTGCGACGAAGTATTGCCATAATAATGGGCCACATATTTTAATATTCAAATTATTAGCTTAAATTCCGATACAAATTATTTGTTTTAAGTTGTGATTACACAATATTTACAGCTTATTTCAATTGTTATAGACAACAATTGGAATTTATTTACCGGCACGCAGCTGACAAACAGCTGATATTGTCGTGTTTGACATTTAACGCATTTTTATAGCGCGCTTTTTTCCTAACACCCTGTGTCGAGTTTGAAAAACACAGTTATTAGACCAATAAATTATAAACGTACCAATAATTAAATATAAGCAAATTAAAATTGTAACAAACAATTTTTAGTGTTCGTCCTAACCTAAGTTTATTTATGAAAAGCAAACAGCAGTGCTGTAAGTAAAGGTAAGTACCACAAACAACAAATAATTGATAACCAGATATTGCACGTACAAATTAAAAAATGAATGACTAGTTTTTCATTCTAACGATGCCCTTTTTATTTCATCAACATATTTATCTTATATTATCATATTTCTTAAAACTAATTGAAGTGAATTTTTCTTTTGAATTTTCGACCGGAGCATGAATGCGTATTTGTCGTAAATGAGTGTCCCGGCCGTTCTGGTGATTCGCCACAATTGCAATTTGTAACATGTATATGCGCACGGGGCGCGACTTGCCGCTTTCCACTTGTATGGCCGTCCAACCTGTTATTGTATATAATATTATTTTTGAAATGCATTGCTTTTAGTTAAACAAATACTAACCTGTTGGCTCAAAAAGTTCTTGATTTTGCAGCTCTTGTAAATCGTTAAAATTAGACCCAGTTCTCAAGGATATACGTGAGGGTGTATAGCTTTCGTCAAGTTTGTAGTCGGCATATAAATATACTGCGCTGATACGTGTTTTCCTATGGAATTGCACATTGACAAGATGTGGCAATTGACCGTCTGACTGCCAATAAGTGTCGATGATATTATCACGAAGTCGTTCAACTCCAAAACCTATAATCCATTATTGCGATATTTTATTATTTCAAGTAAAATTAATGAATGATAGATGTTTACCTGGCTTACACGATGATAAACTCCAAACAGCTTGGTTGCCAATTTCTCTTACAACGCCTGATCTTTCGAGTGGTAAAGGGTCTTGACTGCTGACTTCTTCATCACCATGACCTTCCATTTTTCCCTGTACGCGCACGAAATGGTTTATTCAGTTTTGAAAAATAAATAAAATTTGTTTATATGCCAAAGGTTGAAAAGGAAATGTCAGAAAATGAATTTTCCGGTTTATTACAGCTGATTGCAGCTGTTTCGTGGTTTGTTTTGCTTATTGCATCTTCTTAGAGATGCCAGCGTACAGGCAGTATGCTTTTAAAAGATTATTTCAATTTTTTAATAATTAACTAATGTAACGAAATTTATAAAAAATACTACTACTATTAAAGTACGTTGGGTTATAAAAAAAAATTATTATAAATCCCACAACTGCAGTATTGGTTTAAAAATAAGTCGGATTTGTTTTGCAATTGCTTTTGTCCGATATGGCATTTCGTTCCTGCTGTTTGCTAATTCAGTGTTCGTGTTTCGCTAACAAATTACAGAAAAGCTTAAATAATTCCATTTTTTTAACTGTTATGTGCAAAAGTAAACATTGAGATCACAATGAGTCTGGAGCAGGGTGAACATTTGTTGGCACTAAAGGGTAAGTGACTTAAAGAGTTACACATAATTTACTCATGTGTAGTATATTCACTTCTAGTGATGCGGCTGACTAGGCCTACACTCATCGGTCCACAGGTGATTTCCTGCGAAAATCGCGATTTGCCACAACAAACATTACGACGGCGTATGCTGGAACATGAGAGTACAACAGTGGCAGGCGCAGAAACGCTAGCAGCTGGACAATTTATGTTGTTACCACAGTCGTTTGGTTCCATATATTTAGGTACATACCCATAAGTAGCCTTGTATTACTAACTGTATGACAATGCTATTACTTTACAGGTGAAACTTTCGCAAGCTACATTTGTGTTCACAATTGTACGACCTATTCAGTGGAGGGTGTTACGGTTAAGGCGGATCTACAATCTAATACAACGCGCATTAACTTACCCATGATTGAGAAACAAACCAGCACTACACTTGCGCCTGATCAAACATTGGATGATGTGATACGCTACGAGGTGAAGGAAATAGGCACGCATATGTAGGTGTAATGATATGCTGGTTTATTTCCTCTTTAAATTGCATAAATTAACATTTTCAGTTTGGTTTGCGAAGTCAACTATACAACGCCGGCTGGTTTTCCGCAGTCATTTCGAAAATTCTTTAAATTTCAAGTGCTCAAACCTCTCGACGTTAAAACTAAATTCTACAATGCTGAAATGGATGAAATTTACTTGGAAGCACAAATCCAAAACATAACTACAGGTCCGTTTTGTCTCGAGAAAGTCGAATTGGACAGCTCTGAGCACTACACCATTACACCATTGAATACGTTATCCAATGGCGAGTCGGTGTTCTCCTCAAAAAATATGTTACAGCCCAATAATAGCTGCCAGTTTTTGTATTGCATAAAGGTAGTGTGTTATATTTATGTACTTTTAAAATTTTACAATAATTTTTTTTTTCAGCCAAAAACTGAAATTGCGAAAGACATTAAGGCTTTAAGACAAGCAAATAATGTGGGTAAATTGGATATTGTATGGCGTTCGAATTTAGGGGAGAAGGGACGTTTGCAAACTAGTCAATTGCAACGTTTGGTAATTTTTTAATATTTATTACAACCACACATTTGAATATTCAGTTAAATATTATTTTATTTTTAGCCCTTCGAATATAAAGATGTGCGCCTGGAGGTAATCGATGCGCAGAACATTGTAAAAATAGGTGAACCATTTACGTTTGTTTGTCGCGTAACAAACACAGCGGAACACATAATGGATTTGGTGGTGAAATTAGAAACACAACTAGAATTTGGTTGTGACTATACTGGCGCTACAGAATTTTCCATTGGTAAACTAGCGCCTGGAGAACAACGCGAATTTCCACTGACAGTGTGTCCGGCGCGTTTAGGTTTGATTAAAATCAGTCCTCTACTGCTAACGAATACCCTACAAAAAGAGCAGTATATTATCGAAAAGGTGGTTGATGTGTTTGTTGTCGATACGGACTATCATGAGGATGAAGCATTCCAGGTTAATAAATTTGTACGCTACGATAATACATCATCAGCGCCAATTGAGGAGCGCACATTGCAACTGCAAGTCGTCTGAAGGCGATTATTTTTCGGGAAATAAGTTCTTTAGCATTTTATTGTAATAAGACTAAGTGTATGTCATTAAAACATTATTAAAATATATGTGTAATGCAAGGCGAATTTAATTAATTAATTAATTTAAATGAATTCGCCTTGTCTTGGTATAATGTATAAAAATGTATTTTGATTGCTTGACTGTGACTTTAATTCCATGGAGATTTGATTTTGTCAAAAAAATTATTAAAAAAGCGCCTTGACGCATGTGTAAATGTAATAAATATTTATTTTCTCAATATTTATCAACAACTCTTTAGCCTATATAAAAGCCTTACATTGCACTCTAATCAAAATTGTTTTGCTTTAATTAGAAATTAGCATTTTCAAAACTTAGCAGTAGACGCGCATGCGCACAAACGTAATATGCTTAAGTATACAAACATAGGTATGTATGTATGTTTTTAACCAATGGTGTATACAAATTAGTGCAATTTGCTTCATTCGGTGAGAAAATGCCAATATTTTTATTAATTACTTTATCCATTTTTTGTTTATCAGTTGCCACGCTCGCTTGAGGCTCGTAAATCTTGGTTGACTTTGCGAATTTGTTCGAAACGTAATTTAAGATTTAGTAAATGTTTGCAGGTCTACACATTTGGAAATACTTACATACATATATGTACATATGCATGTTTATATTCGTTGTATGTATGTATGTATGTAACTGTCCGAGGCACACTTGTTGCATGTCACAGCTAGTTTTGTTGTTGCTCGGCGTAAATGTCCTCGATAGCATGCAGGTGGCTGTTTTTGAGTTGGTCCCGTTGGTGGGCAGGCAGTGGGGTGTGGATGCAGCAAAATGCCGGTGTACATATTTATGTATGTAATTTATGTTGAAGCCTTCGCGGAGATGTTTACATGGTCCGTGTGCACTTTTACAAGCGAACATCGATACACACTAGGGAGCCGTGAGCCAGCGCATACATATGTATATATGAACATACACATGTACATAATTATATATATTTTCACTCAACTGCATTTTATCGTCATAGTTTCTTATCGCTAGAAATATAAATCCTCAAATGTTATTTGCTAGCTGATTTTTGTAAGATATATTGCATAGTTACCGCTAATAAGCTTATATCTGATTTCCATGTTGTTGGCTTAATGACGTTCCTTCGTCAACTTCCGGCTTAAGCGCATATTTTGTTCGCAGATGCAAAGCCAATGCATGGGAATAATTTTTCATCCGAAGCTTTTACGAATCTGAGCTTATAGATTTTAATTTAGGCATAAAAAACATAAAATTTTCTACTCCCGAGTGGAGGGAGGAGGCATTTATTTGAGTTTTTTTTCTCTAAATATTTATAATTACGCTAACTTCATTATGACGTATGAGGAGGAGTGGACAGAATTTGCCCACGGAATGGCATGCCTATCATAAGAGGTGACTAAAATCCAATCGTTCGCGCGACGGTCGGGTCTTTATAGCGGAAGAACCCGAATTTTTTATACGAACAAGGACTGTCACTCCCGCAACACTCCCCAAAAATTACTTTAGAAATATTTTTGCGGTTACAACAACAACAGGAGGAGGAGAAGCTATCGCTGGCCTTTCGCCATTATAATTTCTTCAGTTGATGTCTGATCACCTAATTTTTTTATCCTATAGTCAGTTTGATAAAAAAAACACGTGCTCCCTCCACAAAACTTTGCCACCACTACTTTTTCTCCTCTCCTCTGGTCGGCAATTCCTCAAGTAACATGAGGCAACCGTGTCCGACTGCAATCTTCAGCGCAAAATCGATTGACCCACAGTATTCTGCACCGTCTCGCCGTCTTCTTATGTTTCGGTTTTATATCTCGAAGCTCCCACCATCAACCAAGCGAATCTCACTCCTGATGACTCATCGTGACGATCTTGCCGTTTGTGCAGGACATTGATGAGTTATGCTCGAATAAACAGTTACTTCTCCCACTTATTTTCATAGTCGGCAGTCTAACATCCGATACAGGATTACCGACTAGAGCTAAAGGTGAAAGGAAGATGTTAATCCTTAATACTTTGCACGAATGGGAAATCGAGATCCAACCACCACCCTATTCTGGCGAAGAGCTCGGCTGTCTCATGAAACCTAACTTAATATTTTCCCCATTAATGTCTGGATATTGTAACGGTTAAAACTACTTTCTAGCCTGGTTTGATCCCGACAGACGTTAGATATATCCCACATAAACCGAACCACAGGAGCTCCCATTTGATGACCTCGTCAAAAGGACTGGGTTTACTTGTGCCCAAACGGCGTTTAACGAAGCATTATAGCAACAATAATAATAATGTTCGCGCTTACTGAAGCTATAGAGTCTGCACACTGGCCGAGGTGGAAAGAAAAAGCAAAGTAACGATCGATTTTTACTGCTGGGAGGAGATAAGGAGCCATTCTCCCTCCTAAAGGAGTGTCCGAGATACGTATAACTATAGTCAAGCCTAGTCCTGTAGGGAATTTTCATATGGTTGAACTCGCTAGAAAGCGTAAGCTAGTTAAGCAGATAGAAATCGTTGAACATGCGGCTCTCTTCAGCATTTGTAGTGCTTGCGGGGACCTCCACTATTTTAGTGGTGTTAACTTCATCCCGAACTGCATGGGTTATAGTAACTCCGAGCTGACACAGCACCTTGAGCCCTGACGCCAAAACTGAAGGCAACAAAGTCGCTCGGGAAAAGAGATTCAATATGGATGTTTACTGTTGAGAATTATCTATAGAAAGAGGTGCAGGATTCGAAATCACTGTGGTAGTTGCTGCTATCAAGGGAGGGTCAGATTTGGACGTGCAGCGTTCGAGTTCTGGTCCAATCAACATCTAAAATTTTAATAATAAATTTTTTTTAATTGTGGTAGCCCCCAAAGCCCTCCAAGGATAATTCCAATATCGGAAATAAAATCCACCGGCCGTTCGGAGGGGACTTAGAATAAACTGTGGATACCTCCTTTTGTTAACCGCCTGGCCTGGTGGCCTGGTCGTTTTCCAACTGATATTTCAATTGGAGTGAAGGTCTTCTTGTCCTCTGCTTCCAGCTGCGGGTGCTGCATCCAAATTGCGCTTTCACACATTCAGATGACTTGACATAGACATCGTCATTCCCTGATCTATATCAATGTGCTCTTGTAGAGCTTGCACAGCTCGGCAATTCGCAGTATCTAAGGCGCAGAGTACGATAAATCATTCCCAAAACTTTTCTCTCGAAGACTCCCGCGCCATATAATAGGGCGGGAATGATAAGCAAGCTGTTGAGTTTGGTCTTTATTCACCAAGAGGGCACTTACCTTTTTAAATACCTACTCAATCTCAATTAGCAACCGCTGGCAAGAGTGATTCTGCGTTGGATATGCTGGATTTGCTGGTCAAATAATGCTTTACATCCCATCAATCGTTGATGGCGGGCTTTGATCTTTCATACAATACGCTCGATAGGCCCTTATATGTGACACTGACCACGCTTAACCCACGGTAATTGACGCAGACTGGGCGGTCCCCATTTTTGTAGACAAGGCAGAGCGCACTTAGGGTCCTAAAATAGCTGAGGAGCTGTATAAATCAGTCAAGACCTTCCGATCTTCCCTGGAGACAGTCATGTTGGCTAGCACTAATCAACGGATGGTCACTTGACACTTTGAGCTTATTTCTGATGGAGCGAAAGCAGTAGCCCTCTGACAGCTCAGGTCCATCGTCGCTTCAAGCAGCTGCAAAGGCACCGAAAAACTAGTTCGATGCATTTCCTCCAACTGCAATACATTGTCCAGATTATAAAATTTCATTTTTCCCATTTTTTTTATCCAACAATCAATCAAGGGAAACCGATGAATTTTCACCTGCGACGATAATAATTTTTAATTTTCCCTGCGTACCGTTAAAAACTTTATGACATTTCCAAATCAAACCAATGATGACTGATGAAAAACCATCAGCGGCATCATCATCACGAACATCATCACTCGCCGGCGACGCAATCACGCGCAAACATATTTTCTCTTAATAACGCCGCTTCTCGGACGTTCGCCGGACATTTTTCCATTTTGATTGAGTATCAATTTTTAATGACCGCCACAATTCAACTATGCGAAATAGAAATACGTAAGTGGCAAAAAAGAAAGAAGAAGAAATTTTTATTTTGTGGCAAATGCTTTTTAATGAACCATTCAAAGCGCATTGCAGCCGGCAGGCTGGCAGGCTTGCAGGTTGGCAAGCTGACATAGCGATAAAGCAATTGTGGCAATAAAGCCGGAAATATAAAAATGCGCCAAAGATTATGCCAGTTTTTATAACTGCGTTGCCAGCAGTAGCAATAGCAAAGGCTGTGGCGCGGCGGCTACGAAGGCTACGACGGCGGCGGCGGTGTCAACTAATGCACGCGGTTGAAAGTGTCCAGCATGTCATGTGAGCAATTGCGTGCGCTTTCAATGTGTTTTGGATGAGCGCGCGCGCGGCTAAAGGTAAAATAGATTGACAGACGCGTTGCCGCAATGTGCTGATGTGATGGACTTTTGCAAAATACGAGTATGTATGATTGGGTAGCATGCATGAGGCGGAGTTTTGTTGGTGTTGGTAGGTCCTTCAAGGCCTAAGTGTGTTTAGTTGAAGCGCGCTCTTTAAAGTGCGCACGCACGTACATATATACACACATGCGCGTACATCACGCGCACTCACTTGGGAATAAATTAACGCTGGCATATAAAAGGTGTACTTGTGACCGCGCAGACGCGCTTCCCTTTTATATACCCACTAAAGTCACATTTTTGTTTTTATTTTTATAGGAGCGCGTAATGCGTTTTAATACGCTAACGATAGACGTTTGCCGCGTAAATTGATTTTGAGTGCAATTTGCCGCAGTCACACGGCGCGACCGCTTCGTATCGTCAAACTATGCTGCTAAGGTTCAAGTGATGCGGAATTCAGAGTCAGCACGTCAATTGCGCGTAATGCAAAAATTCCATAGCAATAGCGCGGCAGCGTGTTGACTTAAGTATGAATGTATGTTTCGCGTCGCGTCACCATTTACGCGTGGTTCGTTATTGTGCTTAGCTAATCCGGTGCGCTTGGCAAACTGCGCTCGCCCCACCTGTCTTGCCACTGATGCATTAAAAGCGACTGTCACCAGCAACAAATGCGCTTCACTCTGTGTATTCTTCTTCGTCCATGCTCCGCCTTATGCTCTAGTTAAGGCTCTAGTTAAGTGCCGCGCACGGCCAATGTCGTTCATTGCTGCCGCCTGAGTGTGTGTGCGCGCGCTTAGACTTAGCGCTGTGACACTTTGACAACTTAATTCTATTGCGCATTTTCTTTAGCGCAGAAAAGAGAAATACAAAAAGAAGATGATGCTGACATAGAAGAAAAATTCATTTACGACTCTTACGCAAAATTACATGGACTTACCACTTACAT